GTGAAATACCATGGCTAGAGTCAGGTGCACATTAGTCCTCAAACTAATCTCTTTGCTCTTTAATATTTTAAAGAAGTCTTTTGCAGCAGATTTGCCTAATGCAATATGTCATTTGATTTCTTGGCTGCTGCTGCCATGAGTACCAATTGTGTATCCAAGAAAAATGAAGTCTTTGACAACTTCAATCATTTATACATTTATACGATGATATTTATTGGTCTAGTTGTAAGCATGTTTGTTTTCTTTACCTTGAGTTGCAATCCATACTGAAGGCTGTAGTCTTCTATCTTCATCAATAAGTATTGTAACTCCTTTTCATTTCCAACAAGGATGATTGTATCATCTGTATATTGCAGGTTGTGAATGATTCTTCCTCTAATCTTGATGCCATGTTCTTCATATAATCCAATTTCTCAGATTATTTGTTCAGCATGCAGATTTAATAAGTATGGTGAAAGGATCCAATGCTGGAACACGTCCTTCCTGAGTTTAAACTGTTCAGTAGTCTCTTGTTCTGTTCTAATGACTGCGTCTTGGTTAAGCAACATAAAAGACAACCATACACATGGATCACACCAGATGGAATACATGGGGATCAGTTTGGCTACATCTGTGGGAACAGATGGTGGGCAAGGTCAATATCATTAACCATAACAAGGCCAGGGACCAACAGTGGAGCACACCATTAAATGGTCCTATGCAAGTTTAGGCTAAAGCTGAAGAAAATAAAAATAAATCCAAGAGAAACAAAATATGACCCTGACTATTTCCCATCTGAATTTAGAGATGATTTCAATAACAGATTTGATGTATTAGACACTAATGACCAAGACAGGAAAACTGATACAATGACAGCATCAACACTATACAGGCAGAAAGCAAAAGATCATTAAAAAGATGGAAAAGAAAGAAATGACAAAAATGAAAGTCAGAAGAGACTCTAAAACTTGATTTTGAGTATAGAGAAGCTAAAGCAAACAGAAGAAATGAGGACATAAAAGAGCTAAACGGAAAATTTCAAAAAGGGCAGCTTGAAAAGACGAAGTCAAGCATTATAATGAAATGTGCTGAGACCTGGAGTTAGAAAACCAAAAGGGAAGAACAAACAGCATTTCTCAAGCTGAAAGAACTGAAAAAAACATTCAAGTCTCGACTTGAAATATTGAAGGAGTCTATGCGCTAAATATTGGATAGAGCATTAAAAGAAGATGGAAGAAATACACAAAGTTACAGTACCAAAAAGAAATGGTCGATATTCAACTGTTTTAATAGGTGACTTATAATCAAGAACTGATGGGACTGAAGGAAGAAGTCCAAGCTGCACTGAAGGCATTGGTGAAAAACAAACTCCTGGAACTGATGGAATACAAATTGAAATCCTTCAACAAACTGATTCAGACTACAGATACTCACTCATCTATGCCAAGAAGTTAGGAAAACAACTATTTGGACAAGTGATTGGAAGAGATCCATATGTATGTCCATTACAAAGACAGATGACCCAACAGAATGCAGAAATTATCAAATATCATTCATTAATATCATAAGCAAGTAAAATTTTGTAAAAAATGGTTGCAACAGTACATCAACAGGAAACCATCAGAAATTCAAGCCAGATTCAGAAGACGACATGGAACTAGAGATATCATTGCTTAGGCAGAGAATGCCAGAAAGATGTTTACTTGTGTTTTATTGACTGTGCAAAGGTTTTTGATTCCATGAATTAATTGATAGTTGTTGTTGTTATGTGCCGTGGAGTCAGTTCTGACTTATAGCCACCCTGTACAGAGTTTCTGAGTCTGTAAATCTTTATGGGAGCAGAAAGCCTCATCTTTCTCCTGCGGAACAGCTGGTAGTTTCGAACTAATGATCATGAGATTAGCAGCCCGATTTGTAACCACTACACTATGAGAGCACAAAAACATGTGGAATTAAAAAAATAATAAATAAAAACATTTATTTTTTTTTTAAAGCAGCCTAATTGATCCCTACCAAATAGGTGCTCATAAAATCTCTGTAAATTAGAAGGAAGAATCATCAATGTTCTCATTTTATACTTAATACAATATTTTCGTCATAGATACTCACTGGTGTTTCCAAAAGCATTTGGAGACCATCACCTATTCACCAAAACACCACACTTCTTTCATCTTAAAAGTACTTGTGTGTGATGTCTTTGAATGTGGTTATATTTTCTCCTCTTTAATTATTAAAACAAAACAAAAACAAAGCACCTAAAGGGGAGTTGGAGAAGGAGGCAGAACCTGAGGACAGAAAGTTATGAGACTGGATGAGTGATTGCATTTTGTTTTCCTCTCTCTTCACAAGAGGGAATTAAACATCTGGGACTCTTCCCCATTATTGCAACTGGACAGTAAATTCCTGATGGTTATTAGTTAGAAGAACATCTTCCTAGTTCCTCATTCAGATTTTCACATTATAATAATCTCACTGGTAATAATTTCCTCAAAATGAATTTTCCTTCCCTATTTTGAAATGAAAATCCATTTTCTTCTTCTTATTTTTCTCTCCATGAGGCTTTCTCTGGGACAGAATGCTATAGGGTGCCCTTTTTAACCTTTCCATTGGCTCCTCAGGTTTCCTTTTCCTGACCTATGGAAGTCCTGCCATGCACTGGAGGATAAGCACTGGACAGCTAACCTAAAGGTTGGTGGTTCAAACCCACCAGCTTCTCCTCAGAAACTCGGTACAGGGTCACTGTGAGTTAGAACCGACTCCAGAGTACTTAACAACAACAACAACTATGAGATTAAGGGAAGTATAGTGCTGAAAGAACTTGTCTGCGGCCATCCCCTGATGTTTAAACACATTTTATTTGTAATCAACCCATACATGTATGAACTGGAACCCTAGCAGCAAAAATTTTATATACATATACACACAGACACGCACATATACATATGCATGTATATTGTTGTTAAGTGTTGATGCATAGTGACCCTGTATAGAGTTTCTGAGAAGCAGCTGGTAGGTTTGAACTGCCAACCTTGCAGTTCAAACCAATCTTGTGGTCTAGTGCTTATTCTACAGCACCACATACACACATTTAAGTCAAAGGTCAAATGTGCATTATTTCCTATTATTTGTTCAGTCTCTGTTTGAGTGTCTGGTCAAAGAGGATGGTTATGGTGGTGATGGTGGTGGTTGTGTGCCGTGGAGTCAGTTCTGATTCATAGTGACCCTGTAATGCATTTCTAAAGAGTGACTGATGGAGTTAAATTGCTGACCTTGTGCTTAACAGCCCAACAGGTAGACTACTACATGACCAGGGCTCCTTCAAAGAGGATGAGTGGGGGAAATAATGAAACTGAACAGCACCTCTGACTTCTCTCCCTGACAGGTTACCAGCACAACTTTAACACCTATGATGACAACTACATCACAGACCTCAACACGCCCTATGATTATGAGTCTTTGATGCACTATGAACCCTTCTCATTTAACAAAAATTCTAGTGCTCCAACCATCACGGCTAAAATCCCCGAGTTTAATACCATCATTGGACAGCGACTGGATTTCAGTGCTATTGATTTAGAAAGACTGAACCGGATGTACAATTGCAGTGAGTAACTCCTTGGTCTGAAAACTGGGTAAACTAACCCCAACAGAAAAAGATAGATATATATAATCAGTAGATTTGTTTATTTTTTAAACAGTCTAACAATAAAAAATACAAATCCAACCAAACCAAACTTACTCTGCCCTGGGGAAGTGTGGCTTTACTATAAACTCACTTTATAAATAAGCATATTTTTACCCAAAGTTTCATCCAAATTAAATAATTCAGCTAGAACTTTTTGAGCTCCTACTTACAGGCCCATCTCTGTGCAAGGTATTCTCTAAGATTAAAAAGAAAGGAGACATTCTATGTCCCCTGCTTCAAGAATTTATCAAGGATAGAATAGCTATCCTTGGTTAGCTATTCCTTGAATGATCAAGTCTGTTCCTCTGCAACAAGGAGTTTCTAAGATGACTCCACTAGTATTTAAAGACACAGTCATTAGCTATTGATGACTTAGTAAGTGTGGAATCTAATACTAATGACACTTCACTCTTAACTTAAAGGAGCTTGTGCTTTGCACTTACATGTTGTTGTTGTTAGGTGCCATTGAGTTGGTGCCGACTCATAGCGACATTATGCACAACAGAATGAAATACTGCCTGATCTTGGGCCAACCTCACTATTGTTGCCATGCTTGAGCCCATTGATGTTGCCACTTGGCCAATCCATCAAGCTGGGGTCTTCCTCTTTTCCTCTGACCCTCCACCTGACCAAACATGATATCCTTCTCCAGTGACTGGTCCATCCTGACAATATGTCCGAAGTACAAGAGATGAAGTTTGGCCATCTTGGCCTCCAAGGAGCACTCTGGCTGCACTTCGTCCAACACACATCTGTTGGTTCTATAGGCAGCCCATGGCACTTTCAATATTCTCCTCCAACAACATAACTCAAAAGCATCAGTTCTTCTACAGTCTTCCTTATTTAGCCAAACGCAATTATATGCCTTTTTATGATTTGACTCTATGAGGTAGTAGGGCTGTATATAGACATATGTTTTTGGCTCAATGTTGTCAAGTTCTAAAATCTTACTGATGATTATAGAATTTGCATTTGACAAAAAAGAAGTCAAGAAAATGAGAGAATCATGATCTTATTGTTTCAGGACAATGCAATCTTAGTGGTCTGTGCATTATTTATTTGGAGTGAAATGCCATACAATTTTAACAAGGCAGCAAAAATGTTATTTACAGCAACAACGCACACCCTTTTGGATCACTGTGCATTTGAGAAGGCAAACATCTGTGGCATGATTCAAGGTACCAGAGACGATGATGACTGGACTCACAAGGATAGTGCTCAGCCTGGACAAGCAGATCACACCTTGGTGGGACGCTGCACAGGTGGGTGAAGGGAGAAAGTCAACGCCTTGAAGTGGTAAATCACTTCAACAAGATAGTAGCAGTCAGCATAGTTTGCTACAATCTGAGTGTTAGCTATCAAGCCTGGAAATCTGAACAAGGACAAAGAGCATTTTTTATATCTTAATTAAGGCCATAAAAGCCATCCAGGTCTGTGCATGTAAACGAAAGATGCACGTGAGTGATGACAGGACTGATATAGACATCTGGTTGATAAGACATGACTTTTGTCCTCTAGAGAACTATGACTCACATAGAAAACTAAAGAGTTCCTAATAGTCACATTTCAGAGAAAAACTGGTAAAGTTAATTTTAATAACATAATTTATTTAAGCTTTTTTGTTGTTGCTGTTTGTTGTTAAGTGCCATTGAGTTGGTTCTGATTCATAGAGACCCTGTATAGATAGGCTTTCCAAGGAACTGCTGGTGAATTTGAACCACTGACCTTGTGGTTCAAACCGACCTTATAGTTCAGTGCTTTAACCCACAGTGCCACACCTACTATAGCGTAGTGGATTATGAGTGGGGTTGCTAAGCACAAGGTCAACAGTTCGAATAGACCAGCTGCTCTGTGGAAGAAAGATGAGGCTTTACAACCTCAGAAAACCAATACACGGTCACTATGAGTCAGAACCAACTCAGTAGCAATGACCACCACCACCGATATAGCCCAAAGATGAGCATTTTAGCATGTAATCAATATAACAATTATTAATGAGATATTTCATGTCTCTTTTACTAAATATTTGAAATCTGGTGTACACTATACCCTTACAGCACATTTCAGTTTGGACTAGCCACCATTGAAGTGCTCAGAAGCCCCATATGGCTGGTGACCTCCATACTAGACAGCCCATCTTTAGATAGTCTAGCAATGCATCTTTTGAAGGAACCCTGGTGGCACTGTAGGATAAGTACTGGATTGCTAACCACAAGATCTGTGGTTCAAACTCACCAGTCACTTCTCAGGAGAAACAGGAAAGTTTTGGCTCCCAAAAAGATTTACGGCCCCAGAAACCCTATACAGGGTCACTCTGAGTCACAATCTACTTGATGGCTGTGGGATATGTGTGTCGTGTAGTACAACAGCCATGAAGTCAGACAGATCTAGGCTTGAAATCCAACTTCACCTCTCACTAAGTACAACCATAGAAAGTGATTTTTGAAAAAGTCTGTTTTTGTAAGCCTCTCTGAGCATCAAGATATTGGTATTTCAAATTACAGACAGAAGGAGATAATGCATGCTAAGCTCCCAGCTGCAGACAAACGATATCATTTCTATTTTTCCGGCATCTTCTTTTCCCTTTATAGGTCCCGTTTACTTACTATTTCTGTCTTAGCAACCTTGCATTACAACTTCGGAATTGAAATCATCTCAAGCTCTATTTGGTCAGGTTACAAATTCTAATTAGGTCCTTCCTTATGAAATCCTTTTGTCCCTACCTACCTGAAAGCTGGTTAAATTTTCTTCTCTGAAGGGAACCAGCACGTCACCAGATACCAGCAGTAATAAACCAGTGCCAGTCTTCCTCTGTCACATAAATTATCTCGTGTCCAAAGGACAACCCAAGTACTCTCTACATTTCCACATAGTTCCTGACCCAGTCTCTTCAGTGGACTTGCTGCCAAGCTAATATGTATATAATTGCTAGCTAAACAGAGGCTTATCTTTATGTGACAGGAAATTTTGGAAGAATATTTCAGCACCTTTTGTTGCTTTTTCCAAGGAGCAGCTGGTGGGTTTGAACTGCCAACTTTTACGGTTAGCAGTCTAGTGCTTATCATACAGCTCCAGGATTCCTTGAGCCCTCTTGTTGTTGTTATGTGCTATCAAGTCATTACTGACTCATAGCGACCCTTTGCACAGCAGAATGAAACTCTGCCCGATCCTGGGCCAACCTCACTATTGTTGCCATGCTTGAGTCCATTGATGCTGCCACTAGGCCAATCCATCTCTCTGGGGGTCTTCCTCTTTTTCTCTGACCCTCCACCTTACCAAACATGATATCCTTCTCCACCGACTGGGCCCTCCTGACAATATGTCCAAAGTATGAGAGATGAAGTTTGGCCATCTTGACCTCCAAAGAGCACTCTGGCTGCACTTCTTCCAAAACAGATCTGTTGGTTCTATAGGCAGCCCATGGCACTTTTAGTATTCTCCAACACCACAACTCAAAGGCATCAATTCTTCTACAGTCTTCCTTATTCACTGTCCAGCTTTTGCATGCATATGAGGTTATTGAAAACACCAGCACCACACTCCAGAAGAGATGTTGAGAAAGGTTTTACCAGGTTGGTTAACTTATGCTTCCTCCACAGGAGATCATTGATTGAGATGGCTTCCTATGTTTTAGAGAGTGTTGTTGTTGTTGTTAAGTGCTGTCAAGTTTCAAGTCCATTCCAACTCATAGCAACACTGTATAGAGTTTCTATGAAGCTGCAAGCAGCTAGTGAGCTTGAACCACCAACCTTGTAGTTAAAACTGACTTTCAGCACATTAGATAGATACACAAAATGAAGAGCTCCAAGGTTCCCTTGTAATTGAATCCTCCCATTCAAAATCCAAGGAGCTCTGGTAGCATAGTAGTTACAAATCAGGCTGCTAATCTCAAGGTCAGCAGTTCCAAACTACTAGTGATTACACGGGAGAAAGATGAGGCCTTCTGCTTCCATAAGATTTATAGTCTTGGAAACCCTATGCAGGGTCACTGTTAGTCAGAACCGATTCCCTGGCACATAACCACCACCAATTTAAAATCCAGAGTGATGAATCAACACATAGTTAGTAGCAAAGCCAGCGCAAGAATTCAGGTGTCCTGACTCCCAGGCCTGAGCTTTCATTTTACATTTTCTAGCGCGCCTGGCAAGGAGCTCTGGTAGCACAGTGGTTACTAATTGGGTTGTGAACCGCAAGGTCAGCAGTTCGAAACTACCAGCTGCTAAGCAGGAAAAAAATGAGGATTTCTGCTCCTGTAAAGATTTACAGTCCCAGAAACTCTGTTTAGTGTCGCTATGGGTCAGAACCGACTCGACGGCACTTAACAACAACAACAAGTGCACCTGGGACTTCTCTTGTGGTGCTGTAGGATGGTTGATCAAATCACAAGGTCACCAGTTCAAACCCATCAGCTGCCCCTCAGAAACCCTTTACAGGGTTGCTATGAGTCAGAATTGACTTGATGGCACCTAACAACAACTCTGTACTTGGGGAGTCCTGGTGTGGCACTGTAGGATAAGCACTGGACTGCTAACCACAAGGTTTTTGGTTCAAACCCACCAGTCACTCCAAGTGCTCCTCAGAAACCTTATACAGAGTCTCTATGAGTCAGAACCAAATCGATGACACTTAACAACAACAACAATAATAGTAACACACCTTTGAACCCCACTGTTTCCTTCATAGGAGCCCTGGTGGTGCAATGCTTAAGTGCTCTGCTGCTGACCAAAATGCCAGCAGTTCAAACTCACCAGCCATTTCACAGGAGAAAGATGAGGCAGTCTGCTTATGTAAAGATTACAGCCTTGGAAACTCTATAGGACAGTTCTGCTCCGTCCGTGGATAAGAATTGATTTGATAGTAATGGATTTAGGCTTCTTGTAAATCTGTGAGACCAACCTCTTTTCCTTGGAAAGAATCTCTAGTGTAAACAATGAAGTCAACGAGAGAAATAGGACTTGTTTCAGAGACAATGACTCACATCAGATTTTGCTTGAAGCCTGTATGTCCTTAAATCGGAGATACAGATTTCACAGCCTTGGGAACCAAGGCAATGGGGACCTTCAGCTTCAACCATTCTGACCATAAAGACAAACAGAATGATAACTGGCAAACACCTTCTTTTTGTCTGTTCTCCTCCTCCACCCCCACAAAGACCTCTAGCTTTTGTTGCCAGAAAAATGACTGCTATCTGCTATTTCGCTTTACCTGGGCAGACGGCGTGTTGGGAAATGGGAAGCCAGAGATGGGATGTTAGGATGCTTTCTCCACAGATGCTGGCTACTTCATGCACTTCAACACCAGCTTGGGCTCAGCAGAAGAGGCAGCCCTGCTGGAGTCTCGGATTCTTTACCCCAAGAGGAAGCTGCAGTGCTTGCAGTTTTTCTACAAAATGACAGGAAGCCCTTCAGATAGACTCGTCGTCTGGGTCAAGAGAGATGACAGCACAGGCAATGTTCGGAAACTGGTCAAGGTGGAGACCTTCCAAGGTACTTAGAGGCATCTAAACAAGGACTGCTCTGTGTACAGTCTGGAATCTTGCTTCTCCAGCTTCCTTTTCTCCTCTTCCCTCGTCTTTCTGACTTCTCCACCTTCCCCTCCCCTTATTCCTCTGTCTCCTCTTTCTATTTGTCTACATCTTTCTCCCTCCTTCAGCCTTCTTGTCCTCCTCTTCTCTAGAACCTTTCACGACCTTTTCTTCTAAGGGCCTAGAATAATGTCTGGTTTATTTTAACCAAAAAATAAATATTTTAACTACTCAAAAATTTCTAGGAGCATGGAGAGTTCAGGTGAGGCTGATATATATTTTGGTAAGAGGACCATTCTTGTGTGTGTGTGTATATATATATATATTTTTTTTTTTTCACTAGCATTTTGGATAAAAAATATGTGTGGGTATGTGTATACATGTATGTACATAATCTTTCCACATTGGTAGTTCAGAGCCAGGACAGAGAAAATGGTTGTTTCAGGGCTGAGGATTTGAAGGTAGGAGAGGTACAGGAATTCATTTACGTTGCTGGGGAGATAGGACCGCAGTGACAATGTTGACTATGTTTGTGCATCCATTTCAGAAAATGAAATGATACCATCTTTTAGTATGCTGAAGTAACTTGAAGCCAACTTGTGAAGTTAGTGAGCTAGAAACCATTTTCAAATATTAATCTTATTATATTTATTTGCATATTCCTAAGTGCTATTTATATATTTCTATTTGAAAAGTCAACATGAAAACCTTAAAATACTAAGCGAGGCAGTTGGATTTCAGGATAATCTGGCTGTAAGTCAAGATCTAGTGCTATCAAGCCAAGTATTTGCTCATTTTGGAAAGGAGGCTCATTTACAACTAGGAAAACAGAGCCAAGCATTTATATTTTTCAATTAAAGTTAGTCCAGAAAAAGGACTGAATTTCACCCTGTTTGTGAAAGGTGGAAATTTCCTTAGAGGATAGTACTAGGTCATTCTGTGGAGCACATGAAAACTACAAATAATGACTTTGAGGGATTTATCATCACTGGAGGAATAGGAATCATTTAAGAGTTAACAATTTGCTATGCTACTAAGGATTGTAAATATTTAATAAGAAAATGTATTAGTGCTTCATTAACATTGATGGGCTGTATTATCACTCACGTCCATATAAATCTAAAAATGATATTCTCATAAGCATAAAATCAACCAAGTGACCTTTCTATGCTTAATTTAACTCATGACACTGCTTATGTTTTGAGGTCTATGAGATTAAAATCGGGTCTGTGTAAAATCTGTGAAAGTACCCTATGAATGAATTCTAAAAAAAAAGTCCATTCCAATATTGACTCACTCCTGAGATTTTCTAAAAAGTTAGTTGACTATTGCTTAGTATTTCTGTGAAAGTCAACTTAAGCTATTTAAGACCATATTCAAATATATTTTAACTTTTGAAAAATGCTTGCATAAAAAATATGTGTGGGTATGTGCATACATGTATGTACATAATCTTTCCACATCAATGTTGTTGTTGTTATGTGCCGTGGAGTCGGTTCCGACTCATAGCAACCCTGTACAGGGTTTCCGAGGATGTAAATCTTTACGGGAGCAGAAAGCCTCATCTTTCTCCCACGGAACAGCTGGTAGTTTCGAACTGCTGACCTTGCGGCTCGCAGTCCGATTCGTAACCACTACACTACCAGAGCTCCACATCAATAGTTACATATAAATGTGTATGTACATATAATGATTATGTATGAACTTAAGGAGCCCTGGTAGTAAAGTGGATTATGAGCAAGACTGTTAACCACAAGGTCAGCAGTTTGAATCCACCAGTAGTTCATCAGGAGAAAGATAAGCCTTTCTGCTCTTGTAAAGATTTGAAGACTAGGAAACCCTATACAGGTTTGCTATGAGTTGGAACCGTCTCGGTGGTACATAACAACCACCACCACCATATATAAACTTATATATGAAATATATAAAATACTGGCATGTAAACATTAGTATGTACCAGCGGTGTTCCATTCTGCTGTACATAGGATTACTATGGATTGGAACTGACTCGAGAGTACCAATCAACAAAACAAAAACAAATATATGTGACCACACATTTTCAGTGAGGCCAGAGCCCTTACAAATGACTCCTTTACAATTCTGAACTAATTGAGATGGGTCTTGCCTCTCAAACATTTTAGCATCTAAACACCTACAATCTGTGGAGCTAAATATGAGCTGAAAATTTTATGATTAAAATGTGAATGAATATGCATTTAATGAAAGTCATCGTGTACCTATTTTAAACTAGACAAGTTACTTAATCAGTGTAAAATAAGGTTGTTTTGAGGACTAAATGGAACACTGTGTGTCAAGTGTTTGGCACACTACCAGATTCATAGTGCTCCATTATCTAAGTGTGTTGACCACAAAATCACAAATGTTATTATCCATTTGTCCTTAGGAGATCTTGATCACAATTGGAAAATTGCTCATGTGACGCTCAGAGAGGAAAAGAAATTCCGCTACCTTTTCCAGGGCACAAAAGGTGACCCCCAGAATTCAAATGGGGGGATTTACCTGGATGACATCTCTCTGATGGAGACACCATGCCCCACAGGAGTTTGGACAGTACGGAACTTCTCTAGGGTTCTTGAGAATACAGTGAAAGGGGACAGGCTCCTGAGCCCTCGGTTCTACAATTCAGAGGGTTATGGTTTTGGGTTGACCTTATACCCTCATGGCAGATCAAACTCCCTCAGCTCTGGCTATACAGGGATTGCGTTTCACCTGTGCAGCGGGGAGAACGATGCTATCCTGGAGTGGCCAGCTGTAAACAGACAGGCAATAATGACTGTCCTCGACCAGGAACCCGATGCTAGGAATAGGATGTCCGCCAGCATGGTGTTTACTACCTCCAAATCCCACACATCTACAGGTAGGTAATTTCAGCATAATTAAAAACTGTCCCATCCAAAGCCTCCCCCCCCCCACACACACATCTGAAAGGACCAGGAGATGTGATTCTTATCCATATAAAAGACATGAACATTTCTTCCACATTGCCTCCTTGGGCATATCAACATAGTCAGTCATGTTGGATTATTCAGATTTCTGGGGCTATCTTTTCTCTCTTCCCTGAATTCACTTATCAAACATCTATTGAGGGTTTGTGATGTAACAAACATGATATGGGGCACTGAGAATACGAGACAATTCCTGCTTCATTGAGCTCTAATTGAGAAGACAGATACAGCTCATCATATGTAAAATGCTCAGATTTGTAAGGCTCTGCACAGAAAGAATGCACTGACTCCTGAAATAGCATTCAATTTTTAAATAAAGAAATACACTTATGCCCATAAAGAAACAGGCATGCTATTTTCCTCAAAAGAAAAGTCTTTCAGTCTTAGAAGGAAAAAGCTAACAGCTATGCCTCCTTCTTCGAGAGGAAGCCAATGAACAGTGGGCAACTGAACATTGACAAATGAGGTTCTCCCCTGTTTCTATTTCTAGCTTTAGTTTTCTTGGCAAGAGTAAAGGACTTAAATTTTTTGGCATAGTTTTTCTGATGTACAAAGCTGTAAATACTCATTAAAGACAAATTGGAAAGTGAACTATGAAAACAGTACTGTGATTTTAAAAAGCAATTATGTTCCCATTACTTTGCAGCATTAAATGACTCTGTCATCTGGGACAGGCCATCCATGGTGGGCTCCTATGACCAGAACTGTAGTTGTTTTAGAAGCATCGACTGGGGCTGGAGTGGTTTCATCTCCCACCAAATGCTAAACCGGAGGAGCTTCCTTAAAAATGATGACCTCATCATTTTTGTAGACTTTGAAGGTACTTGTACTGATTTTTGTAAATCAATAGTCCTATGTGTTGAGTATTTTACTGATGTTCACTGATGTTCAACTCATAGAAGATGGGAGTTTGTGTTTTGTTTCGGTTAGTTTTGAGGTGTTTAGGTTAAAAGAAGAAGAAGAAGAAAAGGAATTGTGAGAGAACCACATTTTATGGACTTGCTCAGGGAGTCTCATCTTTCTTTTAGTTGTCCTTGGTTGAAATTAAAATTTTAGTGTCACCATTTTGACAATTTATCAAATATGACAGTACTGATTTCTATTTTGTTTCAACCAATCCATCCATGCTGGCTTTATGCTTCTTTGTGCAAATTAAATTAAAATGCAGTTGGACTATTTTAAAAACAAAAATAGCTGGCATTCTGAAAATCCGCTGGATAAAGCTGTTCTTCCAAGTTACTCAAGCTGATGTCCAGGAAGGACTGAAAATTTTCTCAAGAGGCGGAAGTTAATCACTATTGTTAAGTGACGTTGAGTCGATTCCGACTCATGGCAACTCTATGTACAACAGAGCATAATCCATTTTGTTGGTGTATGTACAGGTTCTACATGAACACAGTGAAATGTTCTAGGATTCCCATTCTTTGGAATGTTATGGAATTCCTGAATTAATTGTAGTAGGTTATTTATCCCTCTATATTTTTCTTGAAGATATCACTCACCTTAACAAGACTGAAGTTCCCATTAAAAATGCGAGGCTGAGTCCCCAGGACCTCGTTCTCCATGGTCAGGAGCAGAAGATCCCAGAAAAAGGCATAGGGAGAGCCACGTTAGAGGAAGCCCCACTTGGCAGCCCTAACCAGGGGCAGCCCAGCCGACAGAAGCGATCAGCAGCGAACGTGGACCCCATAGAGCACCACGACTGGTCACAGTACTTTAGAGATCCGTGCGACTCGAACCCTTGCCAAAATGACGGCACCTGTGTGAATGTGAAGGGGATAGCGAGCTGCAGGTAGGCTCTGTGGTGGAGCGGCAGTCATGAACTGTGTTTGTTTAATACTGGGAAAACATCCTGTTCTCATTAATATCACTGAATTGTACGTGTAGAAATGGTTGACATGGCAAATGTTTTGTTATATATTGTTGTTGTTGTTGTTGTTAAGTGCCATTGAGTTGGTGCAACTCATAGAGACCCTATATAGGGTCTCTAAGGAGCAGTTGGTGAGTTTGAACCATCGTCCTTGTGGTTCAAGCCGACCTTGTGGTCGCTTTAACCCACAACGCCACAGCAGAACTTCTTTGTTATTTTCTTTTTTTTTAATTTAATTGTGGTGTAATATATATATGATCAACGTTCTGATGTGGCTTTATGGGTTAATGTCCTGGACTGCAAGGTCGGCAGTTCTAGCTTACCAGTTGCTCTTCAGAAATCCTATACATATGTTGTTGTTAAGTGCTGTTGAGTCAGTTCTGACCCACAGTGACACTGTATAACGTTTCCAATTATAGCACAATTAAAATTTTAAAAAAAGAAGAAGAAGAAGATATTGTCTGAAGATTAGGAAATTGATGACATCAGCTGGTCAGATATGATTACCTAGGAACTTTTTGGACCCTACAAAGAAGTGTCCTAGCTTGGTGGGTTTATGCTGGTGTAGGATATGGGTCATACCAGGGCCCAGAAGTCCAACGTGTTCACTCAGTTGGCTTTTAAGTCTTTCTCCTCTTTGAGGCATTGTCAGTACCTTGAATGTTGTTGGAATGTCTAACTCCACCAGCCCAAGCTGGGATTGTAGCCTAGGGACTTTCTAAGGGCCAGATGTGGTTATGACCTGCCACAGTGGGTCCAACCTTAAACTCTTCACTGCCTCTAGAGAGCTCTGGTAGCATAGTGTTTATGAGTTGGGATGCTCACCTCTAGGTCAGCAGTTTGAAACTACCAGCTGTTCCTCAGTAGAAAGGTGAGGCTTTCTGTTCCCATAAACATTTACAGCTTCAGAAACCCTATGCAGGATTGCTATGAGTCAGAACTGACTTCACAGCACACCACCACCAAATAACATGGTTATTTCTAGTTCTATTGTACTATTATTATTAACTCTATATCAATAATGTTTTTGTTGTTGGTAAGTGCTGTCAAATTGGTTCTAACTCATAGTGACCCTGTATAGGGTTTCTGAGGAATGGCTGGTGGGTTTGAACTTGATGACCTTGCAGTTAGTAGTCTAGTGCTATCCTACATTGCCACCCCAGGACACAATAATAGTAATAAGAAAATCTGATTTTTTTTGGCTGCTTGTGATATATCAAGTGATCTCAGCATTATACATCCGTGGTTGAAATGAGTCCTCACAGCCACCCTGTGATATAAGGGCTCTGATTATCCTTATTTAATGCATAAGAAGGTTGAAGTTCAAAGAAGTAAAGTAGTTTGTCTGAAATATCCCAGATTAAATGCTGGAGCTGGGACTTGAACCCAAGTCTGTTTGCACTCAAATAAACCAAGCTGGGACTTGAACTCAAGTCTGTTTGTCTGTACCCAAAACAAATCCACTGTTGTCAAGTCAGTTTTGACTCACAGCGACCCCATAGGAGAGAGTAGAACTGCCTCGTAGAGTTTCTGAGGCTGTAAATATTTTTAAAACAATTTTACGTTTTGCTTTTTGTTATGTGTTCAGTGAAGGTTTGCAGCACACATATTGTTGCTGTTGTTCAGTGCCATTGAGTTGGTTCCAACTCATGGTGACCCCGTATAGGGTTTCCAAGTAGTGGCTGGTGGGTTTGAACCACTGAATGATTGCAATCCATCAAGGTAACATCACTTATTCCACGTCCTCCCTGTGCTTCTAGTTCCCATTCATCCTTCTTTCCCCACCCTTGTGAATTTTGTCCTTAGGAAAATGCTGCCCTTTTGATCTTGAATGGTTGGCCATTTTTTGTTGTTGTTGTCATGTGCCGTTGGCCATTTTATTGGTGATTATCTCTTTGGTGTTGTTGTCTTCCCTGTATACCAGGGGTGATCCTTTATGTCTCAGCCTGTTCAATGATTCCTTTCCCAAACACCTGAAGCATAGAGTTTATGGAATAATTTCCTCTTAGGTAATACTTTGTTGTTGTTAATTGACAACTCATAACCACCCTGTATAAGGTTTCTGAGGATCAGCTGATGAGTTTAAACAGCTAATCTTACAGTTCAAACCAACCTTGCAGTCCAGTACTTCTCCTGTAAGTAATACTAGTACAATGAAATAGTTTGAGGTGAACTGAATCAAAAAGGACCACTGGTAGCTCTGTGTGACATATTCTGCTCCCGTAAAGATTAACAGCCTCGGAAACCCTGTACAGGGTCGCTATGAGTCGGAACCGACTCCACAGCACATAACAACAACAACAACAACCACAAAGTCAGGATTCAAACCCACCACCCTCCCTGAAGCTGATTTCCCCCATAAACATTTATAGTTCTATAGAGTCCTGGTATGATGCTATAGGATAAGTACTGGACTGCTAACCACAAGGTCAGTAGTTCAAACCCACCAGCTGCTCCTTGAAAACCCTATCCAGGATTGCTATGAGTTGGAACATACTCTACAGCATTTAAAAATAACAACAGGGTCACTATGAGTCAGAATCAACTCAATGGCAGAGGGTGGGGTCAGGAGTTCTGGTGACACAGTGGTTAAAGTGTTCGGCTGCTAACTAAATGGTCAGTGTCACTCCCTGGGAGGAGGCTGTGGTAGTCCACTTCTGTAAAGATTACAGCCTTGTGGCATCATACTCACCTTACAGTGCTATTTGGTTTTCATTGAAGTTACTTAGAAATGTCCATCCCAGTAAAGTACTAAGTCAGACTCTATCTGGAGAATTTCCCCTATAGCTATTGTTGTTGTTGTGAAGTACTGTTGAGTCGGTTCAAACCCATAGCGACCCTGTATAGGGTTTCCAAGGAGTAGCTGGTAAGTTTGAACCACCAACCTTACAGTTCAAACAGCTTTTCAGTCTGATGTATTAACCCACAGTGCCACACCAGGACTCCCTGTAGCTATTAGTCTGAGTCTGTATCAAGCCCCAAATCCATTTCCTGTACCTTCCTCCAGGCCTTGATACCTTGGACCAAGGATATGGGTCTTAGGCATCCTGCCTGGGTTCAAACCTCAAGAGTGAAATGCTTTTCTCATCATGTGACCTTGAGCAAGTTATGTAACAATTGTGTAATTTGAGGATAACAACTGTGTGATACAGCCTTCCCATTCAGAGGGTTGTTGGGATACAATTAATGGATTCATACAAAATCCTTTAAATGGGAAAAGATGCTCTTGTTGCTGTGGTGTTATTAAAAAGCTCTTAAGGCTCAGGTGGCTCCTACATACTCCATGTGTCCTGTCTCCCCAGGTGCATCTCTGGACAAGCCTTCTTCTACACAGGGGAGCACTGCCAGGTCATGCAGGTGCATGGCAGCATCTTGGGGCTGATGATCGGAGGCCTGGCTGGTACCATCTTCCTGACCATCACCATCTTCTCTGTCCTTTCCCAAAAGTCAAAGCAGTGACTTGTCTGAGGACATGAACCAGGCTACAGGAATGCTTCCTCCATCAGACTCTCTCTTTCTGTGGTCTGTGCAGTCTGGAGTGGGTTTTCTAAGCTTTGCTCTCTGAGGACCAAGGCTTTTAGACTCAAGTCTTTCTGTTCTCTACCCTCAGCGTACCCCCACGTGGTTCTTCTACCCTGCTATGTGCCTCTTTAAAATATCTAGCAAGTCCTGGTACAGCACCCACCATACTGGTTTATTTAATTGAATGTCGTTTCCACAGACTGTAAGCTCTAGGTGAGCAGGGACTTGTCCCTATTTGTCATGCTAGCCTTGATGCCTGGAACCATGTCTAGCTAACACATTATAAGTACTCAATAAATGTTGAATGAATGACTTTCTAAACTCTCTTTTTCTACTGCAGATTAAGATATGAGGATAAGTCAAAAAGTGTTGCTACTAGTTTTTCCCAGTTCAAGTGTTTAAATGCGTTAAAATTTGACTCTGTTATAAGTGGGTGGATGTTCACAATGCAGAGGTGTATAGACCAAATGGAGGATATGTTGAAAAACAGTAGATTCACATCGATATTTTTGTTTAATGAAGATTTCTATGATTTTTTATAAAGATTTTTTGACTTACCCTTGAATGTATGATAAAATCTATATATTGATTGTGTTGTTGTTGTGGTTATGTGCAGTGGAGTTGGTTCCAACTCACAGCCACCCTGCACAGGGTTTCCAAGGCTGTAAATCTTTATGGGAGTAGAAAGCCTCATCTTTCTTCCGTAGAACAGCTGATAGTTTTGAACTGCTGACCATGAGATTAGCAGCCTGATTCATAACCACTAAGCTACCAGAGCTCCTTTCACTGAGACATAATGGTGTTGTGTGTTAAATTTTAGGTAAAGCATCCTCTGAGCCAGAGGAACTGATAGTATTGTTTACCTCCTCTTGAATTCTGAGGAAAGGCAAGTCTAGCATTACATGTAAGTGTGTGTGTGTGTGTGTGTGTGTGTGTGTGTGTGCGCGTGTGCAGGTAGGTAGGGGTCAGGGTTGTTTCTCTGATCTTTTCCAGATATAAAATATATTTTATATTTTGATAATATATGCATTATAATAGTAGCAAACTGAGGGTATCAGGCAATGCAAAAATTAAAGCAGCATTTTAAAGATGCTTAAAGGGCCAAAAAATGTTTATCCATTAGTAATCACAACATGGAATGTATGAAGTATGAATCTAGGAAAATTAGAAGTTGTCAAAAATGAAAAGGGAGGCATAAAGATCGCTATCCTAGGCATTTGTGAGCTAAAATGGATTGGTGTGGGCCATTTTGAATCAGACAATCATGTGGTTTGCTATGCAAAGAATTTCAAATGGAAGAGAAATTGGGCCCCACTGATTATCAAAAAGAACATTTCAAGGTCTATCTTGAATGATGTATAGCGTTATTTGTGATAGGATAATATTCATATGTCTATAAGGAAAACCAATTAATTGGTTATTCAGATTTATGCACCAACCACTAAAGCCAGTAATGATGAAATTGAAGAACTCTACCAATGTCTTCAGTCTGAAATTGATCAAACTTGCAATCAAGATGCATTGATAATTACTGGTGATTGGAATGTAAAAGTTGGAAGCATGATAGAATCTGGTAAGACCAGACTTATTCATTGAAAATACATTTTAAAACCAAGATAAAATATGGCTATACACATGTTGCTGTTGTTATTAAGTGCCATGGAGTGTGTTCCAAATTATAGTGACCCTGTACAGGGTTTCTGAGGACTGGCTGGTAAGTTTAAACTGTTGACCTTGTGGTTCAAACTGACCTTGCAGTCCAGGGCTTATCCTACAGTTCTATATCAGAACTCCAAAGAACTATACACATGGACCTCACCAAATGGAACACACAGGAATCAAATTGCTTGTGTTTGTGGGAAGTTGGTGGACTGGGTTGTGTGTGCCAGGGCTGTATTCTATCACCATATTTATTCAATCTGTACACTGAGTAAATTATCTGAAAAGCTGTATTGTATGTAGAAGAACGTGGCATCAGGATTGGAGGAAGACTCATTAACAACCTGCGATATACAGATGATGCTTGCTGGATATGAAGAGGACTTTATACACTTACTGATGAATATTAAAAACAAAACATTCAAGGGGGTCCTTCAACCCCAAGGAAAAAAAAACAAAAGAACCAAAAACGGGCCAAAAAAAAAAAACAAGAAAAGTCGAGAAAAGACTGAAGTAGTCAAAGACATCATTTTGCTTGCTTGGATCTACTATAAATACTCATGGAAGCAGTAGTCAAGAAATCAAACAGCGTATTACATTAGGCAAATCTGTTGCATAAGACCTCTTTAAAATGTTCAAGAGCAAAGATGTCAGTTTGAAGACTAAGGTGCACCTAACCTTGGTATTTTCAATAGTCTCATATGCATGTAAAATTTGTACAATGAATAAGTAACACTGTAGAAGAATTGATTCATTTGGTTTATGGTGTTGGAGAAGGATGTTAAAAGTTTCATGGGCTGCCAGAAGAACAAACAAATCTGTGTTGAAAGAAGTATAGCCAGAATGCTCCTTAGAAGCCATGATGACTAGAGTTTGACTCTTAAGCTTCAGACATATTATCAGGAGGGACCAGCCCCAGGAGGACATCATGTGGTAAAGTGGAGGGTCAGTGAAAAAGTGGAAGATCCCCAATGAGATGGATTGGTACAGTGGCAGCAGCAATGGGCTCAAGAATGAAAAGGATTGTGAGGATGGTGCATGACGGGACAGTGTTTAATTCTGTCGCTATGAGTCCGAATCAACTCCATGGCACCTAACAACAACAACAATAAATTTCATAGAAGGAGCCCTGGTAGTGCAGTGGGCTAAGTGTCAGATTGCTAACCACAAGTGAACCCCACCAGCTGTTCAAATGGGAGAAAAATGAGGCTGTCAGCACCTGTAAAGATTTACAATCCAGAAACTCCAGAAAGCGGTTACACTCTGATCTATATAGTGTCACTATGTGTCAAGTCCTGGTGTGGCACTGTGGGTTAATGGGCTGGACTGCAAGATCGGTTTGAAATTCAACGTCGGTGGTTCAAGCTCACCAATCACTCCTTGGAAACCCTATACAGGGTCACTACGAGTCAGAATCAACTCGATGGCACTTAACAACCACAAAGTCATGTCGGAATTGACACGATGGCAGTGGGTTTGGTTTAATTCTCATAGATGTCTTTCCTTGCTGATGTGTCTGAAATGAGAAAACACACAGAAGGAAACAGAACCACAAAAGAATAGAGAGACTTCTGAGACTACTCTTGGAGTTCCTGAATCCAGCTATCCTTCAAGGTAGATTAATCTAGTAGCTTTTGCAGTTGAAGTTCCTGTGTATTTTCCCCAGAGATACAGAGGGACTTCAAAAGTTGGTGGAAAAATTCCAATATATTTTAATTACATTTTTTTCATGTACTTGTTGAAGTCTCCTAGTATTTATATACTAAGTCTCATCTCTCCTTGAGGGTTCCCCCCTGCCCCAGCTAAAGGAACCTCAGACATGAAGGAAAATACACAAATAGTGTGTCTTAGTTAGCCCGTATCACCATAACAGAAATGCCACAAGTATGTACCTTTAACAAACCAAAATTTCTGTTCTCATAGTTAGGAGCCTAGAGTGTGACTTTAGTGGGATGTCCTTCCTTGTTGGTAATCCTAGAGTTTCTTGGGGTTCCTTGGAGTCTGTCTTGCTCCGTGCGTGTATCTTGGTGAATATTCTGGTTTTTGACAACTCGGAGGTGATTAGGGTAAGGAATCATCTTAGATTGGTATGATCTCACTGACGTAACACAAGAAAACCACTATTTCCAAACAGAGTCACATCCACAGGCACAAGGGCCAGGATTCATTTGGGGAGTACAATTCAATATAATGGACTATTTTGAAGGAGTGGAAGTCCTGGTGTGGTGCTGTGGGTTAATGTGCCAGACTGCAAAGCCATTTGAATTGCAAGGTTGGCAGTTCACACTCACCAGCTGCCCCTTGAAAACCCTATACAGGGTTGCTATGGGCTGGAATCGACTCGTCGGCCCTTAACAACAACAACAACAATATTTTGAAGGAGTATGAACAACACATCCAAGGCACAGGACATTCTCCCACAGTCAGACATTGTCTGCTTCCTTATGCAAGTACAGGCCAGTTTGTCCCTCTGCTCTGAGGACCTGGCCTGCCTGGGCAGTTGGCCTTGTTTACTTCTCCTTGGTCTTCTCGGATGACACTTTGGATAGTGAGTCAAGGGCAGCACCTTCTTCAGTGTGTTCTCAGAGGCAAAGCTAGCACCTTACCAGCTGGACTTAGCTGCTGGCTGCTGGTCAGATAGCCCTGGGACAGCTGCATGATTTGAAAATGAAAATCCAGTTCAGCAGCAGCTTTTGATGGATAGATTAGGAAAGGGAATAACCCTATCCAATCCCTTTGCAGCTGCATAGATGGAAACATTGTTAAATATATTCCTTGAAATAATGGAGGTCATATCTGGGGTTGTTTTCTGCTTTACCTTTGGTTTCATAAAGAAGGTCCAGTCAGTGATGGGGAAGAAAGGAAGAAAGAAAAGAGGGAGCTAGCCAAGATAGTATGTCTCTTTTATACCTGCTTGTAAATACACATTACACACTGATATCAAGTGAAGTATGTATGGTGGATTTACATACTTCATACGTTGTTTTTGTTGTTGTTAGGTGCCATCGAGTGGATACTGAATCATAGTGACCTTATGCACAGCAGAACGAAACATATGAGTCGGAACCGACTCCACGGTACTTAACAACAACTTCATACATACTAACCTACATTCCTTTCTGACTTCCCTTTCCCCTCAAGGATCTTAATGTAATAGCGTTAGGAGGTGGGGAGTGAGTGACTCTTTCGTTCCTGGTTCCCATCATGCAAACGGTCTTGGCTCCACCTTTGCTCTGTCCAAATACCCGCAAAGCACTTCTCATTTTGCCTTCACAGAG